CCCCCCCCGCCGCCTCTGAGAGAAGCAACTATAGGGCGTCCTTGCTATATGTCGCCCTGTTATACATATTTTCTGCATTAACGTTGATGCTTGTAGGAACTGATGCATTATAAGTCCTCCCATTCCCTGCTCTTACGTTGCACCAAAAAAAAAATCAATTTGTGCAAATGAAAGTCAACTGCGGGGTAAAAAAATTCCCTGCTTTATGTCATTTCACTATACATCCAGGTTTTTTAGAACGTATCTTGGATGTATAGCGGGGACGCTCTGTGGTCGAGTAGTGAGTTGACTACCTGATAAGCTTAGGCTTTTTAGGTGGTTGACTACTTGACTAGTCACTTACATCCCTACACTCCTCTAGTCCCTAGATCTAGTGAATTGTGTGTGTTTCTTTCAAGTATCTCTCTTCTCTCTCACAAGTTTTACTTTTCCCTCCCATGTCTAGACAAGTCTGCATACCCTAAAGAGAGTGTTACTGTGAGGAAGTGGTTGATTATATTGCTTCCTTAAAGGAGAGCTGTGAATGGATAGTGTTTTATCATCTCTGGAGAAAATATTTCCCATGGGTCACAGAAACTAATGGCTACTGTGCAGCCTAGAATGTCTTCTATTCTGTTTTCTTCAATAAGGATTAAATAGAGAGTGGATTAAAAGAGATCATCCTAGATTGAGAACCATCACTGCAGCAAGAGAGTGGATTAAAAGAGATCATCCTAGATTGAGAACTATCACTGCAGCAACAGAGTACACTATCTGAAGACCTCTGATCTAAACATCACAACATATGAATATTCTGCAAGCCTTTTGTAAGACTGCAGTTATCGTAAGGATGTTACATTTAGATTAATCAACTAATCGAATAGTCAATGTAATTTGCATCGATTATTTGATTAGTCAATAAGGGCATCTTTGCTTTTGAAATGTGGGAGGAGCCCTGCTGGCTCTTGCTATGTTTCAAAGGTGGAAGCACTGAAGGAGCGTGGGGCCAGCAGGGGGCTCAAACAGTCTCCTGCTGGTCCCACACTCCTTGCTTTTGAAATGTACAAGAGCCCTCCTGGGGCTCTTGTACATTTCAAAAGCAAAGCATGAGGGGCCTGCCCAGACTGTTTGAGCCCCCTGCAGGCCCTGTGCTTCCAGCTGCAGTTTGCTTTTGAAATGTAGCAAGAGCACAGCTCTTGTTACATTTCAAAGATAGAAGTGCCGCCAGTTCCGCGCTGCGCCCCTGCCCCTTCTCACAGAGATGGTGCTGTGGGGAACCAACTTCTAAGCCAGCTTCCCCCAGCACTGGATCCTGCTCTTCCCCCCTCTACCCGGGTGGGGGGTGGGGAAGCATTTTCTTATTGGATTGTTGACTAGTTGCTTACATCCCTATTTGAGCGTCTTTACTATCTAGTAGCTTGCTAATGATTATGGTTTGCTTTCTTTATGGTATTTTGGTGGATTTGCAAGGACTGGTTTTTATATACTTCCACCCTTCTCATTTGTACCCAACCTGTCAAATATTTCTTTTCAGATAAAATTGTGATCTGGAAAGTGCTGGCTGGAGTTCCTATCTAAAATGTACACCATCTCCTATCCCAGTTAGGGAGGTTCTTCCTTGTTCCATAGACCTCTTTGGAGCAGTAACAGCATTTTCTGGATGTATATAGTAACTTGAACAATGTATCTGCTTAAGGAAAGAATGCTTGGCTAATAGGCAGGTGAAACAGCTTAAAAGAGCAATATCAGAATATGTATTAGGAGTTGCAGTTGAGAGAATCATGAATTTTAAGAAGAGCTGATTGCACAAGGCCAGAGTCGCTGCATCACTTTCAGAAAAAGATTTTGGTTTTGGAACTCTTCACACTTTTTAGAACATGATGGATTGGACAAATAAGCTTCAAAAGATAAGTGTGGGACATTGCTGTTGGCAGATATTTTTGCACCTATGCACACAGTCGTTAGTAACGTCTTGGATGAGATGGTGGTAGTAATAATACTTACAATGCTTTTCCTTATAAGGAAATGTATTTAAATAGTGGATTAGCGTATACAGGGATCAATAAAGGAATGAAATTGTGATGGTAAGGCAGGGAATCTTTCTGTTGTCTTCAATATTTTTGTTTAATGGCAGTAGACAAAAATGCATCAGTTCTGTGTAAAACTTGTTGACTGTTTTCTTCAAGGTGTTTCTTGGGATGCATTGCCAGATGAACTGCTCTTGGAAATCTTTGCATACTTGCATCTAATTGACTTGCTAAAAGTTTCCCAGGTTTGCAAGAGATGGCAACGTCTAGCGTGAGTATTGCTTTTTACTTTAATGGATGAGAATAATGTTGCTTTTTAAAGGGTTAAATGGTCTCATTTTATCTTGATGAGCATGTGTAATTTTGTCTACACTAAAAGTGCATTACTCGTGCATTAAGAGACAATAGATTCATTTATTCTGTCTGTTTAAATGGATACTCACTTGAGGGCCACATTTGCCTGAGCATTTTGCATTTGGGCTGTGTCCCCAACTAAAGTTTCTGCTGTCTTCTAGCCCTTCCATAATGAAAACTGGGGTCTTGTCTACTCGCCTCCTCACCTATGTAGTGTAGTCTGGAGCTTTTCCATTCATTAATTGCGGGCTCCCATCTTCCCTCCCCCCCATCTCCTTCTGTCTTGCCTCTCACTAAACAAGTAATGCCCCCTTTCCTGCAGTGTTCCCATACTTGCAGGAGACTATAGAACTCACTGCCATGCGGATCCTCTACTCCTTGCTTCCCCTCTCTAAGAAAAGCAGCAAGAGTTCCAACTTCCCTGTTCTCCTCTCCAGTCTTCTTTGGGGACCAATGGAGCCCAATTCCGTTGAGCAAAATTTCTGCTCTCCTTGGGTCTTCAATTCCTGTCAAGTGTTGCAGAGTTTTATGTGATATCTTGGCTTTTCATATTCAGAAAATAAAAATGTGTTTTTCTATCAGATCAAAGGAAAAATCTCAGTAATATTTATTTACATAAATCCTTGCTGAGCTGATTTCCTTGTTTTGCCCATTCATAATGTTAAGTTATTGATGGCAGTGTCCTTTGCTTTGGCTTTAATTACTTGTTAACAAGCAAACTTCTTTCTTCCCTAGGTTTGATGAATCACTCTGGCAGACCCTTGATCTAACTGGTAAAAATCTGCTCCCAGGAGTGATTGGGCAATTGCTCCCTGTGGGTGTAACTGTATTTCGCTGTCCAAGATCCTGTATTGGGAAACCATTGTTTAAAAACAACCGGTAAGACTGTCATCCTCTCTTGGTATGCTAGAACATAGTCATCTTTTCAGTCTTCCCTCCTTCATGTATTTGTCAGTCTTTGATTTACCACCTCTGGTTGTCACACGTGTGGCATCTATAAATTTTGGATTAGAAGTAACATGGAGCCAGTGAATAAAGCACTTGGCTGAATATCAGGGGAGCTGCATTCTGTTTTTACTTGATTCAGATTTGTATAAGAATTGATACATTCAGTCTTTAAATAGCATAGTCTAGTACAGTGGTCCCCAACGTTGCGTGGCTGCCGGGCACCCAGGGGCAGAGCCACTCACGTGCCGGGCACCCGGGGGCGGGGCCACGCATGCGCCGCGCACCCGGGGGCGGGGCCACGCATGA